CCCTGTGCATGCATTTGCACTGGCTTCTGTGCATGCATTTGCACCAGCACTAATTCCTGCATTTGCACTAGCCCCTGTGCATGCATTTGCACTAGCCCCTGTGTATGCATTTGCACCAGCACTAATTCCTGCATTAGCACTGGCCCCTGTGCATGCATTAGCACCAGCACTGGCTAATGGGTGCTGGGTTCGTGCCGGCCCGTGGGGCTCGGTAGCCGCGCGGCCGCCACCGGCTCACGCTGTGCTCTCTCCCGCAGGCGAGCCGGCGGCCTCCATGCATTCCCCGCGCTACCCCAGCCCCGCCGAGCTGGACGCCTACGCACAGAAGGTGGCTCACAGCCCGCTCACCATCAAGATCTTCCCCACCAACATCAGGGTCCCACAGCACAAGCACCTTAACCGGACGGTCAACGGCTACGACACCACGGGCCAGCGCTACAGCCCCTACCCGCTGCACGCCAGCGGCTACCAGGGGCTGCTGGCCATCGTCAGGGCCTCCGGCAAGAGCGTGGTGAAGAACTCGGAGGGCAAGCGGACTAAGCTCTCGCCCGCCCAGGTCGGCATCGCTCCGTACCCGCCCGCAAGCACTTTAGCCCCGGGGCCGTCGTGCGCGGGGCAGCTGCTCTACCACGGCCCCAAGGCCATGGAGGGCCCGGCGGCGCCCGGTGCCGCCTCGGCGCTGCCGCTGCCGTCGCGGGCGCTGCCGCTGCCGCAGCCCAACCTGCCCTCCATCCAGAGCATCATCTACCAGCTGAACCAGCAGTGCCAGGCGCCGGGCGCGCAGCCGGGCTGCCCGGCCGGCGGCAGCCCCGCCAAGCACGGCGCCTTCGCCTACGCCGAGTGCCGCAAGGGAGCCGAGGCCAAGGCGGGCGCCTACGGCGGCGACGGCGCCGACTACCTGCTCTGGCAGCAGAAGCCGCCGCAGCCGCCGCCGCCACCGCCGCCGCACGCGCGCGGCTACAGCAAGTCCCCCGAGAGCTGCGCGGGCGCCGCGCGCGCCTACGGGCCGCCGGGCGCCGCCGACAAGCTGGGCTCGTCGCCCTTGAACTGCGTGCCGGGAGCCGTGGCGCCCGGGCCGTACGCGGCGCCGCCCTGGAACAGCGTCTTGGTGACCCCCACGAGCGACGGCTTCCAGGCGGCCGAGGCGGCGCCGGGCAAGACGCTGGGCAGCGCCGCGGCGCTCAGCAGCAGCCTCCAGTCCCTCGAGTATCTCATCAACGACATCCGGCCGCCCTGCATCAAGGAGCAGATGCTGGGCAAGGGCTACGAGACCGTGTCTGTGCCAAGGCTCCTGGATCACCAGCACGCGCACATCCGCCTGCCCGTCTACAGATAAGGAGGGCACGCGCCCGGGGATGCCGGCGCCCGGGCCCGCCGGCTGCCCCCGGCGAGGAATGCTTGTTTGTATAGCTCAGAAATCATTTTATTTCCACGAATGTGAACAGGGAATCGCTACCAGTTGCTGCTATCCAGGGAGAGCAGGCTCCGCTCCGCGGGGCCGCGGGGAGCGCGCGGTGCCGCCGCCGCGCCGTGCTGCCTCGCCGGCCCCGGCGCCGTGCCGTGCCGGCGCCGTCCCTAACTTGCACTGCTTTGGTTAAAGCTAAGGACGGGGGACAGTCTGGAGGCTATTTAAGAAAAACACTTGAAAACTTGAACAGATTTTGGGTTTTTTAAGTTTATTTTCCCTTTAGTTCGCTAGGCTGCGCATCCTCGGTGCGGGCTGCTCCCCAAGGCCCCCCTGGCGCCCGGCTCCAATGCTCCCCACGTGGGGACCCGCTCCCCGGCCCCGCGCCGAGCCGGATCACACGGGCATGGGCCCAATCCCAGCGTTTCCAGGGGTGCTGCTTTTTCTTTCTTTCTTTCTTTCTTTCTTTCTTTCTTTTTTTCCATTATACCTCATTTCTTTCCTAGAGGCAACTTGCAGGTGAGGAGGGACAGACCCTCCTCTAACCCCCGGCCCCGGGGCAGGCTCTGCTCCACAGATTTCCCTTCCCTTTCTTTTCTTTTCCGACAGTTTCAAAACATTCATTAGGGTCCGTTATTCAGTGTGTGTAATTATGTGTTTTAATAGATTTATTCATTTTTAAAAAAGGCTCCGCATCACGGAAAAGACAAAGTGTTTGGCTGTTTAAAAGAGAAAAGAGAAACCCGCCCCAATGAAACCCAAGGTGATTGTGCTCGGAAGGAGGTACTGTATCCCTAAAAGGCCTGTTCAAGCACTAAGTGCATTTACAAATCTCTGAGAATGTTTTTTTTTATACTAAAATCGACCATTATATTCTACTGTGAGAAGTGCTGGCTGCACTATATTGTTTTAAAAATGAGAGAAAACAGCAAAAAAAAAAAAAAGAAAAAAAAAAGAAAAAACACACAATACCTGCAAGCTGTGTGTCCGGATGTTGTTTTTCCCAAAGTAAAACCAGGCTGTCATGGACGTGTGCTCTGGGTTTTGTTTGCTTGCCGTGTCCTGCCGGCGGGGCCGTCGCGCTCCCGGCTCCGGTGCCTCCGGAGTGGGATGCTCCACACGTACGGTGCAACGTGCTGCGTCCTGCTCAGCCGCAGGGAACGGCGCAGGGCTGGGCACGCGCCGGGTCTGCAGGTGCCTCTCCATTAAATAACATGGATGGTTCCCAAGGGAGTCTCTGCGGGAAAGCCGGAGCCACCCCGAGGGCTTGGGAGCACGGCACAGAGACGGGTGCTATGGATTGCACTGCTGCAAAACGACTCTTAAAAAGCCATCTCTCATGCTGGCTGCTGGTATCTTTGCAAATAACCCTTAGATTTAGCTAAAAATAAACGTGCAGGGGGTGACGAGCACCTCTCCCTGCCCCCCGCGGGTTCGTCCCCACCCATGGGGACCTTTCATGAGCCCTGGAGCATCCAGAGCAGAGCCAGAAGCTCTGGTAAAACCCATCCACACGTGTCCTACACCGTTTGCATGAGGAAAAACCTGCTCTATTTGCCATTAGGCTGGAAAACCCCATTTTTGCAGCCGATGTCAGTGGCACGGGGGCTTTGTGCCTCCCTCAGACAGGTGCAAACCTGGAGTGGCCCTTGGTGAGAGCAAAGCCAGGTGTTTTCCTGCTCCGTCCTGCGTGAGGTCTCCCGGGCTACGCGTGGTGCTAATGGTGCTAACGCAGCGCCCGCGCCAGGTGGATGTAAAGGACGGTCAAAGGGCCCCGAGCCGTCACGGCCGTGGCCCTGAGCCGGGCCCTGCGCCTGCCCTACTTGGGTTGCATCTCAGTATTGTGCGGTGTGTGGTGCCCTCCAGCGGAGCCCGAGCCCAGCGACACTGCAGCTCTGCACCGGGCACAGCCACGCACAGCCCTGCACAGTTCTGCACTGCCCTGCACAGCTCTGCACAGCTCTGCACCGGGCACAGCCCTGCACAGCCCTGCACAGCTCTGCATCGAGCACAGC